GCATATTTTGAAGTCGTTGGCACTGTGAGTGGGCGTGTCCGACTTGGGGCCGGTTGGTGCGGGGACTTTGCCGTCGACAGTCAAGGTCCAGTTGTAGGCTGGGTTGCTGCCCGTGTTGCAGAAACTGACCTCCATGAAGAGGGAGCAAAAGCTGTGTGAGTCCATCTCCGAGTTGTGCATTATGTACTCCACAGTTGGTAGATTGAAGTCGATCAGACCCTCGCACACCTCCTCCGTTTGGAGTTCCATGCGGCGGCACACGTCCATCGCAATCTTCTTCATAAGCACAGCGCTGTCTTCGCCATTCAACTCGCCGCCTTCTTCGCGCACGGATCGAATGAAAACGTTGATCACAGAGCGACACAGTGTGCAAACGACAAAGCTATCGCGTGTCTCTAACTCGGGCAGATTCTTGGTAAATATATCCTTTTTGGTATGTGCCTTGGCCAGTTGTTGTGTTAGTTTTTGAAACGCTGGAGTTTCCACTCCGGTTGTCAAAAAGGTATAGTACTCTTGCTCCAAGCGCTGAGCCACATCATCGGAGATGGCCGAGAGCACTTTATCCTCCAACTCGAAGTCCATCGGGACTCCTGGTAGATGAACTGCCGTCGCAGCAATAAGACCACACAGTAACACAATCAACGACTTCATGGCGTTCACTGATCTACTAACAGACCGTCGCACCTGAACACCAATTTATAGGTTTTGAATGACCACTAAGAGGGCCTTATCATCAGATAGCGTACCCATTCAGAGTTTTTACTCTTAGCAGTTTGATAAGGATTAATCTATTTATTTTCAGTAATGAAGCTAATAAGTGATTAGCTAGTTAGTCCAAGTAGACTAACTGCAGTTTTATTCTGTATCTAAAAGCAATTTAGAATAATAAAACATTATAATATTTTATTTTTAAAGTACTTTGCAGTAAACTATTTGCAGATAAGAAAATTTTACAATAACTTAAGAGTTTAGACTAAGAATAGACCTTTTCTGTTTAGATACTTATTTACATACATGACATATGGCATGTTATTGCATAATTAATTGGGAGAAAAAACAAAAAAATATAAACCCCCAAGAATACTTACTACAAGCTAAATTTAACAATAAATACTAAAAATTACAAATTTATGAACTTTTTTGAAAATCAGAAACGCGCCTAATTTCGATTGTTATTTTTTATGATATCGCTTGCCATTGTGAACATATAAATAATAAATCGATAACACATTTGAGTTATTCTCCACGAAAATTGCACGGATTTGTTTTGGTATGCCATTTGAAAAATAAAGTATCAAATGCACCAAGAAAATTTTTCAAAAGCCAAAGAATACAAGAAAACTTTTAGAATATAATTAATAAAATAGAAAAAATAATTCCATCTAAGCCATTAATATCATTGAATATTTAAAATACCAAACATGCTCTGGCATTTGAAGCATTGTTGTGTGCGTGCATGACAACCCTGCTTTAAGGCAGCTGGCATCATAATTCTAAACAGCTGAGTTATTAGCCATTAAAACACGAGAGAAAAAAGACGGAAAGGTTTTGTAAAAAGGCCAGTATCTTTGGAAAAATTGCAGAAAATCGGAAAAACTAATAGATCAATTAAGGCGTTAAGAATATTTTGAATCGCTGCGCTGCGTGTGTGTTGTAACTGTGTGCGTGCATGTGAGGCGTGAGTAATTGTATGCGACAATAGCAAACACAGGAGCCAGTGACGCCATTTTCTGTGCGAATTAGCAGAAAAAAATCTGAGCAGGTGGGGCAAAACAGACGCAACGGCAACGCCGCGTGACCAATAACTGAGCAACGAAGGGAACGGACGCATACATAGAGGCATTCAATGAGCAGTCTAATCAACTTTCTTAATCCGAAACTAAAGCCCTCTGTGGAATGCGATGCCATCTGCGAGGATGGCTACACAGCTGCGAATCTCATATCAGACAATGAGGAGCACATCGAGCGGGGGTTTATGTGCTTCGCTGTATGCAAGCCGCCCGTTGATATCGTCTTTGACTTTCCCAAAGCCATCGATCTGAAGGTAATTAAGCTATGGCCCAGCTCCGGAGCTTTGCGATCCACGGGCTTCGAGGTGCATGGAAAATATGATGGCATTTGGGAGCGTGTCGCCTATGTGCGTGACCTTCCTAAGGGTATGGACTCGGTAACGTTTTGCTATCAAAGCGATTACAATTCGCGCAGCAGTGCCGCAGCCGCACAACAGCGCAGCGAAAAGGTATTCTTTTTCAAGACGGCCCACAAGATATTGGGCGCAACGAACAGCGTGAAGATTGTGATTCGAACTACTGAACGGTGTCCGCCTGTGCTGCGTAAAATACAAATGTGGGGTCTGCCTGCCCGCAGTCTAGATAAGGCCGATCGCGAGCTAATGAAAACTATTTGGAGTGAGATAAGTGATCCGTATGGCCTCAGGGACCAAGCACAGCAGCAACAGGCAGGCCAGCGTTCGCCCTCGCGTCACATTCCGGAACTGCGCGAGCAGTCGAGGCTGGAGATACCAGAGGAGTTTCTTGATTCTATAACCTGGGAATTAATGGTGCGTAGTTTGTATTGCTCTACAGTAGCTCTAACTCACGTTCTCGTTGTCTTCCCCTCTCTTTCTCGGGTTTTCTTTTTTGTAGATATTTCCCACGGTGTTGCCATCGGGTAAAGTGGTCGACCAATCCACCATTGATAAGCACTCGGAAGAGGAGGCCAAGTGGGGTCGCCTGCCTTCCGATCCGTTCACGGGACTAGAATATACCTCACAACGCAAAGCAATATTAAACCTGGCGCTCAAGGCGCGTATCGAAAAGTTTCTAATGGAGCACTCGGAGCACTTCAAGTCTGCGCCACGCTCGCTGGGCAGCTCGCGTATGCGTCGCCGCCATGCCTCTCAGTTTGCTAGCCACATGTGCCTGCCGGGCAGCATGAGCGTCGGCACCTACTCCTCATTGAGTAGCGGTTACAAGCACCAGCAACGCAAGACCAAGTCAACAGTCACTGCCACAGCCACATCGGCATTCTCAGGTTCCCTTTCCCCAACATCGCCCCCCGCTGCTAAGCGCGCGCGACACAGCTACTCTGCGTATACAGTTAGCTCCACCGTCACCGCCAGCAGCGCCGATCAATCGCCGACGACCTCATCTGCCACAGGCACAACGTCTTCCATTGACCAGGCCATACAGCAGGCTCTGCAGAAGATCACCCGCTTCACCCAAGTGGTGCCCCCACAGCCTATGCAGCCGACTAGCTGTATCAACTGCCGCAGCAGTCAGTTTGCCTACGAGATTCGCACCTGTCGGCACCTGGTTTGCCGCGAGTGCCTCGTCATCCTATCGGCGTCGCAGAAGTGCGTGTGCAAGGTGTCTTTCCAAGGCGTTGACGTGGAGCGCTATCACAAGCTGCCGTAGTCGTGCCTATCCATACAGCATAGTCTCGTATTCTAGTGCTTCGATATAATTAGGTTCGTGTATAGGATTTTTTGTTGCCAATCTTCAATCTTCAGATACCAGCGAAGCGGCGCTATTGGGCGTTCTGGCTTTACTTATAATTTAATCTAATTTAATTTTTTCTTCATTTTAAATTGTGTCTTCTATTTCTTGATTGTTCAGTTCGTAAGTTCGTAAAAATAGGTCTTAGAATAATTTATATCATATCAGCGTCGATTTTAGCAAGTGCTGAGATTTTTTATTCGAAGCCAAATTACACTTGGAATGGCGGATTGGATGGATGGATGCTCATTCCCAATTATCAGTATCAGGTCACACTTAGTCGGCAATGCGATTAAACTTACATTATATAGTATATGTATAATCATAGAGCAGATAAAGCGCGCATAATTTTTGTAGACTTTATACAACCCACAATTGGATGGACGAGATCAAGCGCGAAGTTTATATATTCATAACATAATAAAGTTAAAAAAAAAAAAAAAAAAAAAAATATTGCCTTTAACTAACTATATATAACTTGCTAGTAGAAAGCTTGTATCGGGGGCTCTAGGCAACTGTTATACAGATCAAGTTGAAAGATTTGAATTTTATGACAATGACACAACTGCATATGTATGTGTGTGTGAGCTAAACAGTTCAACAATTCGATTGTCTGGCAACGCTACCTAATAATCAGACATTGTAATAAAATAAATGCATCTGAATGGATGAAAATATTAATGTTACGCCACAGCCAAGACGTCGTTTGGGATTAAGATTAGTAAGAAAAGCCAATACGACGCCTGGAGTTCGTCAACAAATAAAAAAACTGGCTGCAACACCACAATTCACTGAAAATAAAGAAAAGTCCTCTGATGCTATTGAAACTCCACGTGCGCTGCCGCTACAGCTAAAGGCAAACTCAACCAATTGTCGACGTCCTGGCTTGGCACGCAAGTGCAGAGATCTGACTAAGAAGAGACTGGAATTCGTCGTTGCTGAGAAGCCTGTGGAGAGGCCTAAGACACCAGAGCAGGAGTCGCCTGCGGAAAACACAAAACCCCAGCTTAACACCTGGAGAGAGCGTCAAATAATTGAACTAGAAGCCGATATAGATACATGGAGAAATGGCTTTATTGCTGCAATGGATGATCTACAGAAGCTGGTGCAGCCTAGAGTTACCAAACAAACGTTGCTCGCCCAATTAGGCATACCTCTAGAAATGCTTAAGTACTTGGATGAAGACTGACTGATACACCAAATTACATACAATTAATATTAAAATGTATTTCGGCAAACAAAACAAAACGAAAAACGTGTGTCTAATATTTATGCGGGCGCACGGGCTTTTCAGGATCGAAGAGTTTGGGATCTTGCAGGAAATCCAAGTCTTTGTGGTAGCCCGGCATTAGCAGGCAGCGCTGGGCGCGTACTATCGCCTTCTCCACGTCCTCCTGTTTCTGCTTGCATAACCCGGTTATGTGGCGGCCGTAAATGCGACCCGTGTAGGGCGATTGGAACTGGGACAACAGCTTCACGTTCTTGTAGTGCGGCGTTATGTTGTGCTTGCACAATATGCACAGCTGTGGGTCCTTTTCAAAAGGATTTGGTATATCAATGGGTTCGTCGGCATTTTTTGTTGTCGATGTGTTTTCCGTCTCACTCACAGCAGGCGCATTGGCGAACGAGCGAGGTAATAGTTGTTGCGTGCCTCTTAAATGGACAGCATTCACTAAGTAAGACACAGTTATAAATATGCTTTTAGTTTATTAGATTATCATTTACCATTTCGAGCGATAAGCCTTGTTAACTTAAACATCTTTAATATTTTCGCTTTCGGTTGATAGGGCTGCGAGGCACACCAGGTAGAAGAGTAAGAATGTTGCCAGTAGATATATTTCAGCAGCTGTTTGCGCATATGCCAGCCCTGGTAGCTGCAACTCAACTATCTGGCAGCCCTTGGCGGTTTATTTAAATAATGTTTCGACATTGAATATATAATTCAAGTGCAAAGACTTTTAGTTATTTTTATGATATAGATATATGAGTAAATATGCATGGTCCCAAATAAAACAACTCGGTTAATATTTTTTTCACTATTTTTTATTTACTCCCAATCCAATCAATCCCAATCCGTTTCGGGCATTACATCTGAAGAATAAGTGAACTTTCTCGGCTTAGGTTGAATTATATCATCAACAAATACAGCATTTTTTACGGTAGTTTTAGCTGTCACTGCTGTGGTCGTCTCTTGAATAATAGCCCTAGTAGTACTTTCAACTGCAAAAGTGTTTGCCAGAGTAAGTGGAATTTCAGTTGAATTACTTTCAGATGTTTCGGTTGTGGATGTAACTGCGAGAATTGTAGTTGTGTCTGGTTTATCAGTTGTAGTGTCCTGCTGAGAAGATGTTCTTGATGGCGATTCAGTTGTGGATATAAATTTGGTTGTGTCTGGCAAATCGATTGACGTCTCGGTTCGAGAAGATTTAAATATAGGCAGAGAAGTCGTTTCATCTGCTGATTCGTTTGAAGTCACTGTCTGGGAGTATGTAGTTCCATCAGTTGTGGATATAGCTAAATTCGTAGTATCTGGTAAATCGATTGTAGTTGTTGATTCGGTTGTGTATTGCATTGTAGTACTAGCAATGTTTGTGGTAGATTCTGTTTCAGCTGACGTTGATGTTTGCGGTTCTTGAGTTGTGGAAATGGAAACATCGGTTGTTGACTGGGACAATGTTGTTGGCAACGCCCAATTTATATTGGTGGTGACATCAATCGTTGGCGTTGTTTCCGTGGCCAATTGATGTAAACTTTTTAGGTTTTCCATTTCGGTTGTCGCTTCTGGCTGGGTTGATGTTGGTTCTGTAGTAAAATCATTTCCAGCGGTCGTATCCATGAAAGATGTAGAGCTTGTTTCGGTTATTGATTCAGACTCAGGTGCTAGTGAGCTTGTTGTAATGGTAGCTTCAGGCGTTGGCTCTGTTGTGGAGCTATTTGAATAGTCCTCTTCGGTGCTCGAATCTTTGGTATTGATATAGTAATAAGGTGTGGTTGCTTCGAAGCCTGGCGTTGTTCCAATTATAGTTAGCAATGATGTGGACATCTCGGGAATTTCCGTGGTACTCGCGGATTGTTCAGTAGAATAATTTGGTATATCACTAATTACTTCGATATCGTCTTCAGCATTCCCCCAATCGAAATCATTGGTGGGCGTTTGAGTTGTGCGCTTTGGCACTGCCGGTAATAATAATGCTGGAGGGATTTGCAATATATTTGTCTTGTTTGTTGGCCTATACGGCACATATTTCTTCACATTATACGGCTTGTGAATGCTGACGTAATATTTTGACAATGTAACTAGGTCCTCGCGGCTGGCAATGGTATTTGGAAGAGTTGCTGTGTTTTCAGCAATTACAACTTTTCCAGCAATAATAGGGATTAAAAGTAAAACTGGCAGAACAACTAGCAACACATTCATATTGATGTGCTTGTAAGGGAACTACGCGGTTAACTAATTACCTCAGCAATCTGTTGGTAAGATGAAATCTTTATCTGCCTACCTGATCTACCCAGCAGCACCTCTCTCTTACCTGTTTTAATGACTGTTGAGGGATGGTCAAAGCAATTATGGTGCAAAAGGAAGGTTGCAAAAACAAAAAAAAAAAAAAAAAAAAAACAGAAAATTCAAATATTATTTTTGCCGCCAGGGCTGCATTACTTATTTGTAGTTGGCAACTATACCGAATATTGCCTTTGGTCACACTGTTGCCGGCCAGCTGTTTGCTTGATTTCGAAGAAGAAGAGCGGCGTGCATCGTATTCCGCGTTTTCTGTTGAAAATATTTATATTTTAATAAATACCAGGTATAACCCATTGCAAATACGCTCCATTCTGCTTCAAATTAATAAACAACAACTTTATAATCGAGGTAAGCAGCTGGAGCCTCTAGTTGTGGTCATTCGGCGATGCCGGTTTAGCTGAGTAAACGTTTGGCAAAATTTTCATTAGGGTGACCCATGTTTTTAATGCACCAATTTTAGAATCCCATTAGAGTGGATAAAAAATGTTATTAAGTATTTAAATAAATTTGTATGAAAATTGCAGAATGGATTCTGATTTGTATGATGAGTTCGGCAACTATATAGGACCTGATTTGGACAGCGACGATGATGATGACCAAAGTATTTATGGTCAGCCCGATGTGCAAGATGATCAAGATGTAAGTACATAAGAGACCTAAATTATTCCATTGGTTTTACATATAAAACATGTTGCAGGAGGATGCCATGGATGAGGATGAAGCGGAGCCACAAGATGATGAAGATAAAGAAGTAACAGCTGTTGTGCTACATGAGGATAAACGCTATTACCCATCGGCCGTTGAGGTGTATGGGCCGGACGTGGAGACGATTGTGCAGGAGGAGGACGCACAACCGTTGGACAAGCCGCTCATAGAGCCCGTGAAGAAGTTGAAATTCCAGATTAAAGAACAGGATCTGCCCGAAACTACTTATGATATGGAATTCATGGCAGACCTCATGGACACGCCACCCTTGATTCGAAACGTTGCACTAATCGGTCACTTGCACCATGGCAAGACCACGTTTGTGGACTGTCTAATACGTCAGACGCATCCGCAGTTTGAGAACATGGAGGAGCGCTCGCTGCGCTACACCGACACGCTATTCACGGAACAGGAGCGCGGTTGCAGCATCAAGGCCACACCGGTTACGCTTGTCTTGCAGGATGTCAAGCAGAAGAGCTACTTGCTAAACATCTTTGACACGCCCGGTCATGTGAATTTCTCGGATGAGGCAACCGCTGCTATGCGCATGAGCGACGGCGTGGTGCTCTTTATTGATGCGTCCGAAGGAGTCATGCTGAACACCGAACGTCTGCTCAAGCATGCTGTACAGGAGCGGCTGGCGATCACTGTTTGCATCAACAAGGTGAGCTTATTGAATGTATATGCATACTAATTTATAGTTGCTAACTTAATTCCCATTTAAGATCGATCGCTTAATTTTGGAGCTCAAGCTGCCGCCTCAAGACGCTTACTTCAAGCTAAAGCACATTGTCGAGGAAGTCAACAGCTTGTTGAGGTTTGAGAGTAGACATTTTCATATTGAGAATCCTTTTTAATGACAAATTCTTTCTTTTATATCTAACAGCACCTACGGCAGTGCGGATGATAATCTGATGGTTTCGCCTGTGCTAGGCAACGTTTGCTTTGCAAGCTCTTTGTACGGCTTTTGTTTTACCCTAAAGTCCTTTGCCAAGCTCTATGCGGATACGTATGAAGGCGTGAATTACAATGAATTTGCCAAACGTCTATGGGGCGACATGTACTTCCATAGCAAGTCGTAAGTTTGGATTTGAATGGTATCCAAGTGTTGATCAAATAATCCTTAAATCCCTCAACAGGCGAAAGTTTACCAAGAAGCCGCCACACAACTCGGCACAGCGCAGTTTTGTGGAGTTCATACTGGAGCCCATGTATAAATTGATTGCGCAAGTGGTGGGCGACGTAGACACTACGCTGTCGGACACCTTGGCAGAGCTGCACGTGCGCGTGTCAAAGGATGAGATGAAATCCAACATACGGCCATTGCTGCGCGTGGTGTGCAATCGTTTCATGGGCGACTGCAGCGGCTTTGTGGATATGTGCGTGGAGCACATTAAGTCACCGCTGGAGAATGCCAAGCGTAAAGTGGATCACATATACACTGGCCCAAAAGAGGGCGATATTTATCGTGACATGATATCGTGCAATCAGTACGGCACCCTGATGGTCCACAGCTCGAAGATGTATCCCAACGACGACTGCACTTTCTTCCAGGTGCTGGCTCGAATTGTGTCCGGTACACTGCATGCTGGGCAAGAGGTGCGCGTGCTGGGCGAGAATTATACACTGCAGGACGAGGAAGATTCCCGGATTCTTCAAGTCGGTAGACTGTGGGTCTATGAGGCGCGCTACAAAGTGGAATTGAATCGTGTGCCCTCGGGCAACTGGGTGCTCATCGAAGGCATTGACCAGTGCATAGTGAAAACATCCAGCATTGTGGACATCAATGTGCCCGAGGATCTTTACATATTCCGGCCGCTCAAGTTCAACACCCAAAGCATCATTAAGATAGCTGTGGAGCCGGTGAATCCCTCAGAGCTGCCAAAAATGTTGGACGGTCTGCGTAAAGTGAACAAATCGTATCCTCTGCTGTCCACCCGTGTCGAGGAGTCAGGCGAACACGTTATCCTGGGCACTGGCGAGCTGTACTTGGACTGCGTCATGCATGATCTGCGCAAGATGTACTCGGAAATCGATATCAAGGTGGCCGATCCGGTAGTGGCATTCTGTGAGACCGTTGTGGAGACCAGCTCATTGAAGTGTTTCGCCGAGACACCAAATAAGAAGAACAAGATAACCATGATATCGGAGCCGTTGGAGAAGGGCTTGGCCGAGGACATCGAGAACGAGACTGTCTGCATCAATTGGAATAAGAAGCGCATCGGAGAGTTCTTTCAGGTCAACTATGATTGGGATTTGCTGGCAGCCCGTTCCATTTGGGCTTTTGGGCCGGATAGTACTGGACCCAACATTCTGGTGGATGATACGCTGCCCTCCGAGGTCGATAAAAATTTACTGACTGCGGTCAAGGACTCCATAGTGCAGGGCTTTCAATGGGGCACACGCGAGGGACCGCTCTGCGAGGAGCCCATACGCAATGTTAAGTTCAAAATTCTGGACGCCGTCATAGCCAATGAGGCACTGCATCGTGGTGGCGGCCAAATCATTCCCACAGCCCGTCGTGTCGCCTACTCAGCTTTCCTCATGGCCACGCCCCGTTTGATGGAGCCGTATCTGTTTGTCGAGGTGCAGGCACCTGCGGATTGCGTCTCAGCGGTCTACACTGTCCTGGCGCGTCGCCGGTAAGTTTGTTAAGATATAGACTTGCTTGAGGTGTATTCATTTCATCCATGCTTGCAGAGGTCACGTAACACAAGATGCGCCAGTCTCGGGTTCTCCTATCTACACAATCAAAGCATTTATACCCGCCATTGACTCGTTCGGATTTGAGACAGATCTGCGAACGCATACCCAAGGCCAGGCCTTCTGCCTGTCTGTATTCCATCATTGGCAAATCGTGCCAGGCGATCCGCTGGACAAGAGTATTGTCATCCGCCCGCTGGAGCCACAGCAAGCCTCTCATTTGGCTCGTGAGTTCATGATCAAGACACGCCGACGCAAGGGTCTCTCCGAGGATGTGTCCATCAACAAGTTCTTCGACGATCCCATGTTGTTGGAGCTGGCGCGACAGGATGTGCTACTCAACTATCCACTATAATTTATAGTCTCTAACTATCCAATAAAATACTGCATTTTCGATCGGGAACAGATCCTTGACCTGTTTTTAACAGCAACTTGGAAATGAAAATGCATTCGTCATAAAGAAAATGAAATACTATGTTTACTGTTTATTAACTTTCATTACTTGTGTCTACACAACTGTAAACCTAGTTAAATAGATAGATAGTTCAGCAGATAACAAGTAATACTCGATTATTTCGAGTACTTGCTTAGGCAGCGCCGTTCTGCAGTGCTTCTGACTCGTAGGCCTCCTGCTCGGCCTGCTCGTCGTCGAATTCGACATCGTCGTCGGCGGTTGCTTCCTGGAAGGAGTGGAGGAGTATGCGATTATAGGCAAAGGAAATTAATAAGCTCAAGCTGAGTGTGTCCCACCTGGTACTGCTGATACTCGGATATCAGATCGTTCATGTTGCTCTCCGCCTCGGTGAACTCCATCTCGTCCATGCCCTCGCCGGTGTACCAATGCAGGAAGGCCTTGCGCCGGAACATGGCCGTAAACTGCTCGGAGATGCGCTTGAATATCTCCTGAATGGCCGTCGTATTGCCAATGAATGTGGCCGACATCTTGAGCCCGCGCGGCGGAATGTCACAGACGGCCACCTTCACATTGTTGGGTATCCATTCGACAAAGTAGCTGCTGTTCTTGCTCTGCACGTTGAACATCTGTGTGTCCACCTCCTTCATGGACATGGGGCCTGTTAATTATTAAGAGTGCAGCGTAAAAATACTTGAACTCTGCTTCTGGTGGCAGCATTTTTCCGCTTTCTTTCACATCAAAAGCCAAGATGGCTTTGATGCGTCAAGTAAATCCCCAAATCCCTGAATATGAAATACTAAACGGCTTCTAAGCCCTGACAGCGCACTTGGCCACCTGGGCTATGCTTGTGCTGCTCCTACCGCTCCTGCTGCTGCTACTTCTCATTCAGCTTCTGCTTGTGTCGATGCCGGCGCTCTTAGGCGTAAGTCTAGTGGGTGCGCCGGAGACGGGGCCTGCAGGTGGTGGACACCAACAGAAGCAGTCCCATGAGGCAACTAAAAAAGCTGTTTAAATTCTTGTTGCTTTTTTTTTCTGCGCTTCCCTGTTTAGTTTCTTTTTTTTTTTTATTTTAGCTGGCGCTCATTTTTGTGATTAATTATTTTGTAAGCGCGGACAAACGGTGGAGGGAACGTGGAGGAGCAAGTTGGGCGACAGGCACTGCCGCTGCAGCCTTAAGCCACGTTCAGCATGATTAGTTAAGGCCCAAAAGCCGTGTCAGGCGGCGGTCGCGGCACTGGAACTGCGCCGGCGACTGAGATGGGAATTGGGATTGGGATTGGGACTAGAGCCGAGACTCGCAATTCCCCAATGGATCTTGAAAGTAAATTTCTAATTACGCGCGTTTTGCGAGTCATCAGTCAAAGGCAAAGTGCGTGCGGCCGGGGGCGGAGGCGTTGGCGGGGTCGTTCGAGTGTTCGGCTGTTAGGCACACAAGGAATAACAAATGAAATATTATGCGGCATACTTTCGGGCGCCGCAGCGCAGCAGTTTATTAATTTAAAAATTAGCGCGAAAAAATGCGGCCCCCTGCCACGAGAAGCAGGGAGCAGGAAGCGGCAAGCGGGACAGGCAGCAGGACAAGGGCGACAAACAAATTTGCGCTACGTGCGCGCTGACGGATTGCAGCCTTTTTAGCCGCCTGTCGACGTGCATTAATCATTTTTAGTGGCACCCATAAGTAGGCTTTGCGTTTGCTAATAAAATTGTCGTCGGCGCGTCGCGTCGCGTCGCGTCGCAGCGGCGTGACTACGTGACTACGGCTGAGGCCTACGCAGCGGACAGGTGCGCCAACCGCTGTCCATGACAAAGCGACTAAGTTGGACGGCCCTAAGCTGCGTTGCCTGCGCAATGGACGTTTAAGCCTAAACCACACGCACACACACATACACACACAAACACAGAGAGAGTTGGCCATATCCGCGTTTGTTGCTTGTTGTTAAAACACCATTTTTCTCTGTCGGAATGTGGGCGCGGCCCGCCCTTCACGTGAGACCCGTCAAAGAGCACGTGGGGCCGCCCTGCCAAGTCATGTCAACGACACCCAAAAGTCAACCCCATAATCGTGTCCATTTATCAGGGCAAAAGGTTGGAGCACTCACCACGGAAGATGCAGGCGACGGTTAGGTAACGTCCATGCCTGGGATCGCAGGCGGTCATCATGTTCTTGGCATCGAACATCTGCTGGGTGAGCTCGGCGACAGTGAGGGCGCGATATTGCTGCGAGCCCTTGGCCGTCAGCGGCGCAAAGCCGGGCATGAAGAAGTGGAGGCGCGGGAAGGGCACCATGTTCACTGCCAGCTTGCGCAGATCAGCATTCAGCTGGCCTGGGAAGCGCAGGCAGGTCGTCACGCCGGACATTGTGATCTAGGGGCGAGAGAGATGCCAATTAGAAACTGTTTAGCTAAATATAAATAATATAGAGGCATCATTTGTTGTTCCTGAGTTGTGCAGTGAGTCGTCGTCCTCATCCATTGCTAGTTACTTACAGACACCAAGTGATTGAGATCCGAGTAGGTGGGTGCGCCCAGGCGTAAGGTCTGATAGCAAATGTCGTACAAGGCCTCGTTGTCAATGCAGAACGTCTCATCAGTGTTGACGCACAGCTCGTGCACCGAGAGAGTCGCATTATATGGCTCAACGACCACCTCCGACACCTGGATGGCAACAACAACGTGGACAACGGACATGTTGTGTGGGCACAGGGAAACAGGGTGTGGATGGATTCACCGAACACAAAACCGAACAAACACATTAGTTAATCTGTTGGTGGGAATTCACTTACGGAAACCAGATGATTCAGATCGCCATAAGTGGGCGACGAGAGCTTCAGCGTGCGGAAGCAGATGTCATAAAGCGCCTCGTTGTCAATGCAGAACGTCTCATCCGTGTTCTCCACCAGCTGGTGTATGGAGAGCGTCGCATTGTACGGCTCCACGACGGTATCGGACACCTACGTAAGTGACAAGAGCAAACAACGGCAAACGGCAAACGACAGCAGAAACGGCGCAGGTGACGCATGCAAGAAAATAAAATAAGCAAATACATATATTAATTGCAAGAGTTAATCATAATCTAATTGGATGAATGAATTTGTTTATGTACTAAATAATTAAAAAAATAAATAAATAAATAAATTGCATTCAAATAAAACTGGTAATCAGTCAATAGTCCCTAATAGATTAGTCTACCTATTTAGCGAAAGTTTAAATAAACTCAATTAAAATATATCTTGTTAAATAATTATAAAGGTTATCAAAAAAAAAAAAAAAAAAAAAAAAAAAAATGAATTATTATATATGTATATATGAGCTTCTGAGACGGCACTTAATTACAAATTTTAATTATTAATTAAATTGATTGGAAATAAATATATATTTATATACCCTATGATGCATTGAGTATACTAATACAGTAGAATCCGGCTATAACGACTCCGCTTATACGTCTCCGTCCGTACGGTACGACGAAAATTCTGGTCCTCAGACAAAATTTTATGAGCAAACTTATATGATTAAAGCGTTTTCCGGGTATACTTTCATTATAGCGGGATTCTATTGTATATAGCATCGTAATACATATATCATCCTCGATATTCTGTGCTGATCCAATATAAATTCTAATCTAATTTAAATTCTTATCAAAAACTTTAAATTTATATACATATTTATTGTTATATTAAGAAACTTTTTCTAATAATTTTCATTGAGTGTCTGAGTTAGCTTTGAGCTCCATCAGTTTATTGGTTATCCTGTACATCAATTAGACAGCTAAATTGCAGCTTTAATCTTCAAACAGTGCCTGCTATTTATGGATTTTGAGTAACTTAATTAAGCTGCAGTGTCAACAGAAAATGCATATGTTTCGTTCGGTCTCTCGAATGCAGAAATTAGAGATTGCATTCGATTCTCTGAAATGTGTTTTGCATTGCTTTGCGATGCATCGAGTGAAGTACATGAAAGTTGCATTTCAGACGATAACTAAATGGAAATGGATGGGGAAAACGTGCTGCCCCTTAAGGATATGCACCTGCTGCAGTCCCCAGCCAAGTGTTGCCAACCTGACGGGCATACAAGCCAGTATTTGTTGCATAAATGCACTTGCTTATTGCATGCAACATGTGTGTATGTGTGTGTGCAGAAACTGAAAATTATGTGTAATACTTTGCCCAGGCCTATTATATTTGCACTGACAAGATGCATTGCACTGCCTGTCTCCAGCCAGCCAGCCAATTGCTGTTTGTACAATGCAAAATGTTTGCCCATAAATCCTAGCAATTATTTAATGGCGCCGACACAGAGCAATAACGAACGCTCACCTGGACTGCAGATACTGCATGAATCTAATTATAATGAGTTATGCATGGCCCCAACTTTCGTTACTGCACTTGCATTAGCTGAACTGCTCTAGCTAAATATTTGCTATGCTCGAAATCTGAAAAGGATTTGACATCTGGATGCTGCTGCTGTGCTGTGCATAGAATTAATTAGAGACCATTAACTGGTTTTATATATGAATCGCTTTTCATTTCACTTTAAATTTGATATAAACCGAAAAAATATAATAATAATAATAATTGACTATTAAAATCTGCGAGTAATCGCTGAAATTTGATATACGCATCAAGTGACAGGCGCGTGGCAGCTCCTGGCCACAACAAAATGGCCACCAATGCCAAAACATTGCGGTAATTCGCCCAGGCCAAGAGCACATAAATATCAAATGCCAGCGAGTGGCGAGAGGGGAGGGCTTAGCTTAGAGGCTGTGCCTGGGCCTGGGACTGGGCCTGGTCAACTGGCCGAAAGGGCCGAACTGACCCAATCCCAATGCAAAGTGCGACTTTGTAGTTTGCTCTTTGCTGCTCAAGCATGACGGCAATAAATTAAACAGAACAGAGAATGTATGTGCCATTTAATCTGCATATGGACTCACAGCGAGTGCTCAAATAAAAATGTCCAGAGTAGGATATATGTATATATGTACATTTATATTGGTTTAAGCAGTTTGTCGAATGCTAATTTCACGCATCAATAAACCTTTTCTGCTCGCCTTTAAAAT